TATAGTTAGTAAGGATTGGGGGATCAGAGGCAGATATCAAGGAGTTATAGTTAGTAAGGATTGGGGGATCAGAGGCAGATATCAAGGAGTTATAGTTAGTAAGGATTGGGGGATCAGAGGCAGATATCAAGGAGTTATAGTTAGTAAGGATTGGGGGATCAGAGGCAGATATCCAGGAGTTATGGTTAGTAAGGATTGGGGGATCAGAGGCAGATATCAAGGAGTTATAGTTAGTAAGGATTGGGGGATCAGAGGCAGATATCAAGGAGGTATAGTTAGTAAGGATTGGGGGATCAGAGGCAGATATCAAGGAGTTATAGTTAGTAAGGATTGGGGGATCAGAGGCAGATATCAAGGAGTTATAGTTAGTAAGGATTGGGGGATCAGAGGCAGATATCAAGGAGTTATAGCTAGTAAGGATTGGGGGATCAGAGGCAGATATCAAGGAGTTATAGTTAGTAAGGATTGGGGGATCAGAGGCAGATATCAAGGAGTTATAGTTAGTAAGGATTGGGGGATCAGAGGCAGATATCAAGGAGTTATAGTTAGTAAGGATTGGGGGATCAGAGGCAGATATCAAGGAGTTATAGTTAGTAAGGATTGGGGGATCAGAGGCAGATATCAAGGAGTTATAGTTAGTAAGGATTGGGGGATCAGAGGCAGATATCAAGGAGTTATAGTTAGTAAGGATTGGGGGATCAGAGGCAGATATCAAGGAGTTATAGTTAGTAAGGATTGGGGGATCAGAGGCAGATATCAAGGAGTTATAGTTAGTAAGGATTGGGGGATCAGAGGCAGATATCAAGGAGTTATAGTTAGTAAGGATTGGGGGATCAGAGGCAGATATCAAGGAGTTATAGTTAGTAAGGATTGGGGGATCAGAGGCAGATATCAAGGAGTTATAGTTAGTAAGGATTGGGGGATCAGAGGCAGATATCAAGGAGTTATAGTTAGTAAGGATTGGGGGATCAGAGGCAGATATCAAGGAGTTATAGTTAGTAAGGATTGGGGGATCAGAGGCAGATATCAAGGAGTTATAGTTAGTAAGGATTGGGGGATCAGAGGCAGATATCAAGGAGTTATAGTTAGTAAGGATTGGGGGATCAGAGGCAGATATCAAGGAGTTATAGTTAGTAAGGATTGGGGGATCAGAGGCAGATATCAAGGAGTTATAGTTAGTAAGGATTGGGGGATCAGAGGCAGATATCAAGGAGTTATAGTTAGTAAGGATTGGGGGATCAGAGGCAGATATCAAGGAGTTATAGTTAGTAAGGATTGGGGGATCAGAGGCAGATATCAAGGAGTTATAGTTAGTAAGGATTGGGGGATCAGAGGCAGATATCAAGGAGTTATAGTTAGTAAGGATTGGGGGATCAGAGGCAGATATCAAGGAGTTATAGTTAGTAAGGATTGGGGGATCAGAGGCAGATATCAAGGAGTTATAGTTAGTAAGGATTGGGGGATCAGAGGCAGATATCAAGAAGTTATAGTTAGTAAGGATTGGGGGATCAGAGGCAGATATCAAAGAGTTATAGTTAGTAAGGATTGGGGGATCAGAGGCAGATATCAAGGAGTTATAGTTAGTAAGGAGTGGGGGATCAGAGGCAGATATCAAGGAGTTATAGTTAGTAAGGATTGGGGGATCAGAGGCAGATAACAAGGAGTTATAGTTAGTAAGGATTGGGGGATCAGAGGCAGATAACAAGGAGTTATAGTTAGTAAGGATTGGGGGATCAGAGGCAGATATCAAGGAGTTATAGTTAGTAAGGATTGGGGGATCAGAGGCAGACATCAAGTTAAGAATACTGAAGGCGCCAGGAGTTTATGGCTTTACTTTAAAATTATCTGTTACTCTAGGCAAATAAATGGAAAGAGAAAAACTGGAAGTTCAACTCAAATGTCAAGACGTTGTTGCTTAATGATTAAGAAAGCTGGTGATAACCACGAAAGTGTGATTTTTTTAAAGACTGCAGACGCTCGTGATTTGTTGCCTGCGTAAAATCCTCAAATCATCATTGGACGTGCCGCCATAAAGGTCGTACAGATTGGGAAACAAAATAATGTTTACCTCTTTC